TGTGGGGCGAGGCAGAGACCGCCTTCAGACGTCGGGCAAGGCGGAGCCAGCCCTCAGACGTCGGGCGAGGCGGAGCCTGCCCTCAGGGGTCGGGCGAGGCGGAGCCCGCGGCCTCGGTGTCGGGCGAGGCGAAGCCCGTCCCCAGAGGTTGGGCAAGACAAATCGCATGACCTTGGGATTGGGCGAGGCGAGCCCACCCTTAGAGGTTAGGAGAGGCAAAGCCCGCGGCCTCGGTGTCGGGTGAGGCGGAGCCCATCCCCAGAGGTTGGGCGAGGCAGATCGCACGACCTTGGGGTTGGGCGAGGCGGAGCCCACCCTTAGAGGCCGAGCAAGGCGGAGCCCACCCCTAGAGGTCAGGCGAGGCGGATCGCACGACCTTGGGGTTGGGCGAGGCGGAGCCCGCAGCCATGGGTCGGACGAGGCGGAGCCCGCGGCCTCGGTGTCGGTTGGAGCTGTAGTCGCACCTTTGACTACCTGGATGGATTAACGTATAACAACCATTAGCCCCTCCTCTTCGGGTACCCTAGTATTGGTCCCTGACATTGTTAGTCTCTAAAACACATGTGGTGAAATAACACTAATCTAGATCATCTATTTATTTGAATTAGACCATAAAAGTATAGGTTAAGCATACATACACCCTACATATTAGAAACACACTAACATAACACATATCATGTGTTAGCATTTTTGAGACACAGGCCTCTAGCCAAATGGCCATTCTCTAAACTTTGCTTGACCAGATAAAAAACTTCACTTTCTAGACAACTCTTAAGTAATATTTTTTCCGAACAAGTCGCCTAGGCCTCCGATCAAACAACACCTTATTGCCCCACAATTGACCAATTGTGACAGATCTATTTGTGCATGGAACAAGAACACTGGTGCTAACTTGCTAAAATCGCCACCTTCCTTTGATCGTCTACATGATTAGGAGGGTTTGAATAACATTTCAGTTTTGTTCTACACTTTGGATCAATCCTCCTTCTGCTCAGTAAGCACAGAACCAACATGCATTGCTATGTTCAGTAGAGGAACCCATGCGAAGCAATTATCAGCCTTCGTTCAGACAGATTAAGAGGTTCTATGAACTAACCTGGGAGCAAAGCGATGACTGGTAGTTACTTGACTTGAGGGTGAGGTGAATGAAGTCACCTACTGTCGGGGACCTAATACCGGGGTATCCAATGAGGTGGAATTAATAACCATCGAACGTTGACGCTTTCGGTCAGACAAGAATGCTACTACACTTCTTGCCCGAACGACAGAAGATTGGTTCCGCCTCGCCCGACCCCCGAGGGCTAAGACTCCGCCTCGCCCGATGGCTGAGGGCGGGCTTCATCTCGCCCAAACGCCTGAGGGCTAGCTCCGTCTCGCCCGACGGCTGAGGGCATGCTTTGTCTCGCCTGACGGTTAAGGGCAGGTTTCGTCTCGACCAATGCCTAAGGGTTGGCTCCGCCTAGCCCGACGGCTGGGGGCTGGCTCCGCCTCATCCGACGGCAACACCCTATTCCATCATGAATGCGAGCACAGTGTACGACAAGACATTCGAGTCAACCGCAGTACCGATGATCATGCCCTGCATGCAAGGAAGGTACTGTCAGAATACGATGGGACGGGCACTTTAGGCCCTTTCCAACCTGATAGAGCCCGAACAGTGTTGTAGGCGCCGCCTTTTGTCCCACAGTGTAGTAGGCGCCGCCATCAGCCCTCGGACGCGGATACCAACATGAGCATACGACAACCACTACTATCCAAGACAGAGCTCACATCATCCATAGTGACGGACATATGGTCACTTCCCCATCTACTCCCCGAAGGGTCACAGCTCAGCTCTCTGGCACGCCGCACCGTCCGCCGGATGTAGGATGGGACGCACCCACTTGCCGAAAAAGGCCAGGGCACGGCCCTATGAGGATCAACGAACACGCCATTCCTGGCATGATCTGCCATGTTATCAGGGCAGGCATAGGGGAAAAAGAAGACCCGGCTCCCTCAAAGGACCTCCTCTACCTTCGGCTTTCCCTCTTTCTCCCGTCTGTAACCCCTGCTCCCCCTTGGTCTATAAAAGGGAGGGCAGGGCACCCCACTAAAGAGATCGATCGACCGATCGGTTTTGGACTCACAACACGCAGTCAAGCAGCAACCGAGCTTTTGGCGCCTTTTGACCCTTCCATCAGAGACTTGGGACCTGTCCCTCTCTCAACCGTTTGTACCCCCTACTACGAACCTTTTTCGGTACTAATAACACGAGCAGCAGCAGACTGGACGTAGGGACATTCTGTCCTACCAAGATAAACCTTGTGTCCTTTAGTACACCATCCGAGCCTAACGCACAACAATTATAAATTTACTAGTTGGTGTTTGTTCGAAACACCGACACCTACGCAGCCAGAACGATATATTTGTCAACTTTAACTGAGATGTGGCATTCAAGATGATAGTGTTCAACATCAATAGGCTGCAATCCAATAGTCACTAAAATTTTCCAAAACAACATGACGATGATGCAGTGAAAACCAATAATAGACTACAATCCAATAGTCACTAAAATTCAGTTAGATACTTGGTCAGGCAAAATTGAGGCTTGCAAGATTTAGGCCTTGATAAAGAACTCATAGAGGATATATATACAAAGCCATACAATACAACACTAAGCACTTAGGCTCATAGAACATCTAAAAAAAATCTAGGCACAAAACAACAGACACAACATGAACATGAAAGAACCCAGACCAATCTTCACTTCTATTCCTAAACCTCCATCTAAACTTGGGAAATACCTCCCTGATTATGGTCTCCAAAAGTTCACAGTCAACCTTGAAACTTAATCTTTCTTCTTCCTTATGTAGCAAGGACTCGACGAAGACAACACTCTTTTGGATATAAACCATGGAGACGAAGAGAACCAGCATGGATATCCAAGTCATCCAACTCATGGCAGAGGCCCAATCCAACTAAAGTCGGAGTCCATCTCGAATTCTAGGAGTAGTCTCAGATAAAATCGACTCCCAGAACATATATAGACTCCATTTTCGATGATCCACGTATACATGGAAAAATAATTTCATAAGCTAACTAATGGCTTTGGTCTGACATCAAAATTCTTCCGGAGTCAGCGGAGATTGTCGAAACAAGTTAGCGCCCATAATCTGTCAGGGTGCTACGACAACGTCTTTTGATCCGTTGGGCCATGTATCGTCTTAGAGCCTATTAGGGCGCATGTCTAGGGGTTTGCACGCCAAGATATTATAATAATCAATTGTCGCACTCGTTAGGATTTGAGTTTTGTTGTGTTCTTTGTTTTTCTCGTGAAATAAACATTGCTTTTAGTACTTGTGTCGCCAAGATCGATTGCATGAACCAGTGCCCCTATTCTTGATCTTATTTGACTGTGTTGACTAATCAAGTCTTGAACCCCATATCACTTTGATAAACTTCATATGCATTTGCAATTTCAGATTGTGCTTTTCACGTTTTTGCTTGTGTTCTCGATTTGCAGGAAAGCAGTCTAGACGAGGTCAATCGCGTTGTGCATGGTTGATAACCAATGGAGTAGTGGTGTAATGGTTGTGGGGTCCGAAGCAAACTTGGTTCGAATGCTAGATCATGAATGTCAAGTTCTCCAGCAATCGAACCTATCGAAAGACCGGGCCGCGTCTACATCAAGTGGCATCAGAGACCGAGTTTCCCATTAGGTGTATCTCTGCTTTTCTTTTTAGATTAGATCTATTTTTGCTTTACCTAGAGCCCCCAAAAAAGCCAAAATCAGAAACGAATCAGAAACGACCATGGACCCTTTTGTGCTATAAGACATGAGATAACCAATAGGACAAGAGATAACCAATGGGCTATAGGACAAGAGATAACCAATGGACTATTTTTGCTTTACCTAGAGTTGCCCAATGGGCTATAGGACAAGAGATAACCGATCGTCTCAGCTATTTTCTTTGTGCCGATGTCCTATATCCACCTTCCCCAACAATAAGTCAAGGCCCCCACGTCACTTACTTGGCCTCGCTAGCCGTCTTTCACTCTGTTCGCTCGAAGGTTTCAGCCAGCCCAAATCAGCCAGCCAACAGTGTTTTTCTCTCACAACAAACTAGCACCAGCCAGTCCAAACCAGCCCAGAAACTGCCCTTTGTGTGAACTCTCGCAAGCTCTAGTTAGGTGCTGTTGTGTGATCTTCGGCTGCACCTCAGCCGTCCTTTCAACTTGCAAAATCTACGGTTCATACACTCTTTGTTCACCTTGAAAAAACAGAGAACAAACACTCTTTTAACAATATCTCTGAATGCAGGAACTGATACGATATAATACTATAAATAAAAAGATATTAATTAGTTAAAGTTATTTCTCGAAAAGAGATAACTTTAACTAAAGATATTAAAATTAATTAAAGTTATTTCTCGGAAAACGAGAACATAGTTAGAGGGTGTTTGGTTTTTCCTTTAAACTTTAGTCGCTGTCCCATCGCATATTTGGACACATGTATGGAGTATTAAATATAGACTAATTACAAAACTAATTGCATAGCTTGCGACTAATTTGCGAGACGAATCTTTTAAGCCTAATTAGTCCATGATTTGACAATGTAGTGCTACAGTGACATGTGCTAATGATGAATTAATTAGGCTTAATAAATTCGTCTTGTTGAGTACTGATGAATTCTATAATTTATTTTTTTATTAATATTCGAATAGCCCATGCACCCTCAGGTGACTACCCCTAAATTTTGATCAACTCATCCCAACGCCCCCTTGTTTTGGGACGGAGGGATTACGTCCGATGCCTAATTCGCACCCTTTTGAAATTTGACCTTGGCACACGAATTCTATCAGATTCAGGAGGTTCTGGTGCACCCCGCCCGTCAATCGTCCTCTGTCGTGACCGCAAGAACAACCCCCCCCCCCCACCACCCACCCGGTCGCCACCGCCACCGCCTCGGCTTCCCACTTCAAAACCCTAGCCCTAAACCCTCCTCGCCGGAGCCCTCGCCCATGGAGAACCCCAGGCCCCAGCCCCCAGCCCCCACCCCCACCCCTCCCATGGCTCCGCTCCCCGTCCCCGTCCACCCGCCAATCGCCCCCATCCCCGTCCCTCCGCCCCGCGCGCCCGCCGCCGCCGGCGTTGCTTCCATGGCCTCCACCTCCACTTCCTCCGCCGGGGGCGGAGGCGAGGCCGAGTACGAGGTCTCCGACGACCACCGTGCCGCGCGGGAGCGCCACGAGCGCGCGGTGCAGGAGCTCCTCCAGCGGCGCCGCGCCTACGCCATGGCCGTGCCCACCAACGACTCCGCCGTGCGGGCCCGCCTCCGCCGCCTCGGCGAGCCCATCACGCTCTTCGGCGAGCGCGAGATGGAGCGCCGCGACCGCCTCCGAGCCCGCATGGTCCGGCTCGAGGCCGATGGCCAGGTTGACCGTCTCCTCCGCGCGCAGGAGGACGACCAGGCCGCGCGCGCCGGCGAGGAGGAGGAGGAGCAGATCCAGTATCCCTTCTTCACCGAGGGCACGCAGGAGCTTCTCAAGGCGCGTGTCGACATTGCACAGTACTCGCTGCCCCGTGCCAAGGCCAGGATCGAGAGGGCCAAGCGCCGCCACGAGGATCCCGATGAGGACCCAGGGGCGGAGGCCGAACTCGTCGTGAAGCAGGCTGGGGAGTTTGTCCTCGAGTGCAGCGAGATTGGAGATGATCGCCCTCTCACCGGCTGTTCCTTCTCTCGTGATGCATCAATGCTGGCCACAAGGTACTTCCTCTTAATCATACGGAATTACATTGCTTTGTTCTTGTATGTCTCAAACAAATGCTGTGAGGCAAGGATGCAGAGAACTGTTACCTATTAATTGTATTGTGTGATTTCAGTAGTTAATTCTGGGTCTGGCAATAAGTCTGATCATTTTGACTAAGCATATCATAATAAGGGGTATCCAATATAGAAAAAGCTTTTACGTTGTGGACAATGATAGAAAATAATCTGAACTGCTGTAGTTTTTTGTTGGGAGTCCATGTTTAGTCAATTTATTATACTTTGTTGCATGGGTTCATGCACTTGTGCAGTCCTGAGTTTTTCACCACAAGCGAACTGCAACTAGTAAGTTCAGATATGACATTCGAAAATGTCACCATCTGGTCACTTGGGAATTAACTAAGTTAGCTGTATTTTAGATGTCTGAAATCACTGGGCTGCTAGGAAGCCATGATCAGATTTGCTTCTCTTCTAGTTGATAGAGAATGTCCAACATATTATCAATCCCATATTCTCATCTGGGGTTGGTTGGAACTTGTATCACTACCGAATGCACATAATCACCCCTTATCCTGAAGAACCTTGGTAGAACATAAAGCTGAAGTTAGACATCTGTACTTTGGCTTTATTCAGGATTATTAAAATAACAGCAACAAGACCATCTTCAGCGATATTCACTTTGAGTCGTTAATTTAAATTAGTTAGCAGTTCATGTGCACAATAAATAAGATTGTTAACTGAAGTTAAACAACTTATCTATGTTACCAATGTCATGTGCAACTAGTTGCTTATTAAATGTCATGATAGCTATCATATCTTTACATTTGTTTTGAGCTTTAACATGGAAGATTATGTTCTTGTACTCTTGCTTCCTTTTCAGGAAATAACCATTTGCTTATCCGCATTGTGTAGTTCCTGGAGTGGAATAATCAAAGTATGGAGCATGCCACAATTAACTAAGGTTGCAACCCTGAAAGGTCACACAGAACGTGCAACTGATGTTGCCTTCTCTCCTGTTGATGACTGCTTAGCAACAGCTTCAGCTGATAGAACTGCAAAATTATGGAAACCAGATGGGTCACTTTTGACGTCTTTTGATGGCCACCTTGATCGTCTTGCTCGCCTTGCTTTTCATCCGTCTGGAAAGTACCTTGGTACAGCTAGCTTTGACAAGACTTGGAGATTGTGGGACATCAATACTGGAAAGGAGCTGCTACTCCAAGAAGGGCACAGCAGAAGTGTGTATGGAGTTAGCTTTCACCCTGATGGTTCTTTGGCAGCATCTTGTGGTCTTGATGCATATGCTCGAGTATGGGATCTGAGATCAGGAAGATTGTTCTTTGCCCTTAAGGGCCATGTGAAACCTGTAAGTTCTTTCTTTTCTTCTGTTTAGTTTCTTTTCTTTTTTTTCTTTTGCAGCATGGAACGATGGAACTTTAAAAGTACCTTTACAGTATTTTGTATGGGATTATACGTATGTTGTTGTGGAGCTGTAATTGTCTAGTGAACACCTCATTTGTATGACTTAATTTCATTTTCTATTTCAGGTCCTAGGAATCAGCTTCTCTCCTAATGGTTATCTGGTTGCAACTGGAAGTGAAGACAATTTCTGTCGAATATGGGATTTGAGGAAAAGGCAAATGTTGTACTCTATACCAGCTCATAAGAGTCTTATTTCACATGTAAAATTTGAACCCCAAGAAGGGTATTATTTAGCGACTTGTTCCTACGACACCAAAGCAGCGGTAAGTTTTATGTAATTTATTTAATGTGTTTTCTTTATTATTCCCTCATTAGCCAATTGGTCTCTCATGCTTTCTATGTTTTCAGCTGTGGTCAGCTCGGGATTACAAACCAATCAAAAGTTTGGTGGGCCACGAGTCAAAGGTTACTAGTTTGGATATTAGTGGAGGTGAGATATTACTTATGGTTTTCTTTGTCCCTGTGTGTATATTATTACATTATTATAAATTCAGAAACCTTATTTAGGAGTAATCAATTCTGCCCCGCATCTGGTTCTGAAAATCAAGTTTAATAATTGAAATTGTCATTTCTGATCGTTCACTTAGTTTCTAGTTTCTTAACTAGCAGTGGCAATTTGAATGGGTATGCTATTGTATATTACTTCGCTAGGATTATTTTTTGTTGTGTGATAAGTAGAGTCGCGAGAGTACCATCTTGTAAACTTTATTGTGTACATTTAGGATCTTCAGATGTGGTGCTTTCTAATCACTTGCATCTTTATTATGCCTTGCTTATCCTTTTGTCCCTTCTGCTGGACTTTCAATCTTCAGAAAATTCATTGTGTTACTTTGTATACTAGGTAATACTCCCTACGTCCCAAAATAAATAACTTTATAAGGTTTAAAATTTGTCCCAAAAAGAATAACATTCTACAAAAACATGGGAACACTGCCTCCTAATGCGGAAGCTAATCATTAGTGCATGCAAACGATAACTGCCAAATCCAGGAGATACCCTCTAGGAAAGGAAATGAGATGAGGGTACATAAGTCTTTTGCCAGCGTCCTTAATCTGTCTAGAAAGTATATTTCGGGACACAGGGAGTATATCTGATACCATTGACATGTTGGTGACCCTTTTTTTTTTTTCTGTGTGATGTTTTTGTGAAATAGCTTAACATGTTTATAAACTTCTAATTGATAATGTATCTGTGGCTAATGCAGATGGACAGAAGATTGTGACTGTGTCTCATGATCATACAATAAAAATTTGGTCATGCAGAAGTAGCACACAAGATAATGCAATGGAGTTGGATTGAGACATTGCCTTCATTGCTGTTAGCCCTGCTCTCTATCCATCAGCTATAAAGTAGATGTTCTCCCTTTTTGCTGATCAGACATTCAAAATAGTCATTTTTGCTATTGCACAGAGCTATTCCATAACATGTATAAACCCTGGCTGAGAAATATGTTCTGCTATGTTAACTTTGCGGGTATGCCTTGTCATATGCTAACATGAATGGATCCCAGATAATAACAAACCATGTTATCCCACTGAAATGGTGAAGCCTCTCGCAGGCTTGCAGTAAACGACATCTTTATCCCTTTTTTGTCATTCGCTGTGATAAGTTACTAGCGAGTTACCTTTGTACTAGTACTAGTATTAATGAGTAAAGAGGTGCAAATGAATATTGCAAATTTTGAGTTTCTGCATGGACATTCAAAAATTCTGGATGTTGAGCCAATGAACTCGAGGTATGCTAGCTTGGGATGTTTTATCCTGTTGCTCGTTTAGTTGACCGGTGGATGTCTTAGTGGATATTGGAGAGTCGAAAGCTCGAATCTCTTACTGGACTGTTTTAAATCTTTTACTTGGAAATAATTATGAACTGGACCATTTTTGTACTACTAAAAGCCCTGCAGGGTGGTCTCGTTTTTTTGGAGTATTTGCAGCAGGCTGCCTAACACGCCCCCCCTACTCTATGTTAGTAGAGAAAAAAAAAAACTGTAAGAGCATCTCCAAAAGTTCTCTAAAGCTTACTTTCTAAATTATCAGTTGGAGTCATTTGCATAAAAATCGTAGTCTATATATTTTCACTCTCTAATAGCTTTTTTTATATCTTGTGTGCACTTTAGAGAGCCATTGCATTTTCTATCTTTGGTTAACAAGAAATCCGGAATAGAAGATAGTTATGTTTAGATAATCAACTGTTGAAGAGTAATTTTTTGAACAAAGATCTCTATTCGTAGCCATTAGGAAGGATACTCAGAGTTTCTTGGAGTTGCTCTGGATTTGTTGGCTACCCAATTCTTACGCTCGCTCCGTTGTTGGCTACCTAAATCCTTTCCCCTACTACCCATACCTAAATCACGGCTAAAGTAGCCTCGTGTGTGTGATTTTTCCAAAAAAAACAGAGAGTAAGAACTTATTGAAAATATTGAACATATAGAATACAAAATACAAACCAACTCATCTAATTTAGGTAGATATTATTTCATATCTTCCCCCCTGGAAAGTACTGGGTCCTAGAAAACAAAGGCAAATGAGGGGCTGTTGTGGAGATGCTCTTAAAGGCACATCTCTCGAGAAAACAAAAGGGCTATCTAATAAACAAATAAATAGGAGGCCTGTTTTAGGTATATTTAGGGATGAAAACGGATAGGCGGACAAAACATTACATTTGTTTTTATATTTCTGTTCAGATTCGGATTTAAATATGGATAGTGTTAACCATATCGGATAGGATACAATTGGATATCGATATCATAAATATGTGATTTGAGTATTCGGATACGGATACGGTATTGGATATTGAATATTCGGACTCGGATACGAACAGAACTGAACACCTCTAAACGGATTCGGTCTCGAATACGGTCGAAAAATATCCGTATCGTTTTCACCCCTATATATACTGCTGGAAATGCTCCTCTGGCTTCTGCCTGCTAGAGTGCTAGGTAGGTTACCGTGCCTTAGCTCTAAGATCTTTGCAAAATTTCAAGTTCGTATGATAAATTGAAATGGACTAAACCTTTACATTTAGGGGCTACTGTGTTTTTACCCTTACTTTGAATTTCAATTGTGATTTTATCCTCGCTTTTCGCCATGTTGCATTTTTACCCTCGCTTTGTAAAAACGAACACTCAGAATACTGCTTGGTTTAGCTTGGGTTGTGGAAAAAAAAGTTGTTGGTTTGTGGAGTCTAGGTATACTGCTGGAAAAAAGCTCCTCTGGTTAAACAAGTATAAAATATACTTTTTATCTTTATCTCTCTTGAAACAACTATGGAAGAGCTTTTTATTCCACCAATTTCAAAAGCAGTAGTTAAAAGCTCAACCCAGCTCTAAGATCTTTTGCAAAATTTCAAGTTCCCAACCAAACAGTATGATAAATTGAAACTGGCCTTGCAAAATACCTTTACTTTTCCGAGTTCATTGTGATTTTACCCCTGTTTTCTTAAAAAAAATGCAGCATCATTGTACAACTTGTTACATATAATTGCACATAATATGGGGCCCAATATATATATAATATCACATCACAAGTATGTGTAGCAAAAAGCTTCAACCATCATCCAACATAAACATCCATCATCCAACATACACAACCAACAATCCATCATCAACGGTCCAACAAAAGCGGTAGCTAATAGTGAGATATTACATGTTCATTGTCATAATCACACAATTCCTAACAATGCAGCCAACCTCCTCCTCTTCCTCTTCCTCTTCCTCTTCCTTGTGTTCTAGCCCTTCGCTTCCTTCTTGGTTCCAGTGCTTCACTTGCACTTGCAAAGACTTAAACCCTTTTCTTTGGACTTGGTGTCTCTCTTTCTTGATGGCTCTTTTTTTTTGCTCTCTCTTTCTCCTTTGTGGATGTGCTCTCGGTGTTTGTCTCATTGGTAGGCACTTATTCCTCACGAGAAAGGTGGCACCTTTTTGTTGGTGAAAAGCGCAAAGACCCTCAAAGTCATTAATTTGGGCATTAATTGCACCAATCCTTTGTCTTTATTGAGATCAAACCACTCAAATCAAATGCTCATCATTTAATCTCAATACCCTCGAATGGACGCCATAGAGTTATATACTATTTTGAACCCCACATTAAATCAAGACTAGTTGCAAATTAAAGCTATGCATGTCAACAACTTGAGTAGGCAAGATTCTACCACACTGTCGCCATGTTTTTGGTCCCCCATCGAGTCAAATCAAATTATGCAAGTCATCCTTGCATTTTGCCTTCTACTCAAACCTTAACAGAACCCTAACCCTAACTGGAAATTCATGTGATTTTGCCTACAAATCGAGCAATTGAAACCAAATTAGCACAATTGCTCCAAGAACGCTTAATTCGATCCACAATTGGGCCAATACATTTCACAGAGGAGGAAAATTTGTACCCTAGACACCAACTCCATGGCTCGACAGACCGCCATCCTCCTCCATGGCCTAAGCGCCGACTGCAGCAGCCCTTTGCCGAGCGCCTGTCGTCTGTCTTGCAAGCCAAACCCTAGGCGGCTACCCGAAACCCTAGGCAACGCCAGTGCCCAGCCGCAGCCCAGCCCCGCCCAGCACGCCCCCGGCGCTCCTCCGTCGCCCTTGAGACGCCAGACGCCTTCCTCCCAGGCCGCCCTCCGTCGCCGGCTGCCGCCAGCCGCCGCCATGTTGCCGTCTGCTTGTGAGCAAAGAAAGAGCATCGCACAGATCGCTGAGGGGCCCTCCACGCTTGCCACCACCATGGCCCGGGCCATGTTGACCAACCCGTCGAACCCGCGTCGTTCATTGCACGAGGCCAGCGCTGTCGACCGCCCGAAATGACTGCGCCCATGATAGAAGGCCAAGACCGCATCGGGATGGATAGGAGAGTCACGGGTGAGTGGAAGGTTATTTTTGTCCTAGATACTTCTAAGCTTGTCTTTTTCTTTTTTTTAATTTTTTTTACATAAACATCTAACAGAGTTATAAAGAGGGGTAGAATGAGTGTTCGTTTTTACAAAGCAAGGGTAAAAATGTAATATGGCGAAAAGCGAGGGTAAAATCACAATTGGGGTTCAAAGTAAGGATAGAAACGCAATAGCCCCTCACATTTAATCCAGAATAATAAAAAATCAAATAAATACCTTCAACCTGCTCACAGCTTAAATTTCTGTAGCCAGGGACGGACAGCTCAAAAAATTCGTGAAGCTAGAGCTCTAATTAACACTTAAAAGCCTCATGCTTACATGTGCATGGTAATATAGTTATTTTATTTTGAAAAGTAAGATTTTGACAGCACATTAAATCAAATACAAGCATTTAACTTGACGGTGCAAATTAAATCAAGACGACACCACAAATCCATCAAGTCATCCTTACATAGGTATAGTCAAAGGAAAAAAAAAACAGCATTGGATAACATCCTAGAGTAAACATATTGCAGCAACCTAGAGCGATATAACCACAGTACAATACGAGCAACGAGGATCATTTTTCTTCTACTCTGATGAAGCACTTCCACTTGGCTTGGCATGCCATGCGTATCCAGCAAGCTCTTTCCCCAACTGAGCTTGCCTTTCGAACCAGGGCCACATATCCTCTCTGGGTCCAATAATTAACATCCAACTAATGGCCCCGTTCGTTTTGCTAAAAAAATAAACCGAAATACTGTTTCGGCTGATTTGTTGTGAGAGAAAAATATTGTTTCAACTAAAAAAACAAGCTGAAAAGTACGGATTATAAGAGAAACGAACATGACCATAAAAGGGTGTTGCATACAGTAAGTCTGTCCGACCTCAGCCCGGTCCATAGGAGTGAGTCAGACTTCCTTGGTCACCGAACCAATCACGCCCTATAAATAGCCTGTTCGCTGGTTGGTTTATAAGTTAATAAGTCCGACTTATACTGATTTGTTGTGAGAGAAAAATACTATTAGCTGGCTGAAACCAATCAACAAATAGTTCTAAAGTCTCTTCAAGTTACCGTTGTACATAGCACCGGTCTCAATCTCCCCCTACACCGGTCTATTGAGGGGAAAACAATCCACCGGCATCGAGAATGTCAAACTTGAAGGCACGAGCGCACACAAAGAACCCTCCTCCTATGGGCAACTCTAACATTGTTCCAATGACTAGCTCATAGAAAATTTTATTCAATAAAAAGGAGATAGGATGATAATAAATTATCTAAAATGGTCTATTGCTTTCATATCTTTCTATACCAGCATGTTAGGTTAATCAATTTTTATCCTTTTTTCACATGAGCTAGCATGTTAATTCTATTGTTCTCTTCGCTTGTGTACCAGCATGTTCCTACCTAGACTATAAGCCGTACTTTTTCAACT